GAAGTTGGAATTGGTGCGGGGCGAGGGGGAGTCGGCCGTCCCCACCCCTCCCCCTGGCGGCGGCGCCCACGTGAGCAGGGCGGCCAATGGGTGGCCGGTGCAGGTTTAACTATGTTTAATGTCAGATAGCAATAAAGTAGAAGCTGCCGGTCTGGCCCCGCGGAAATGGGCGAGCATAATCTCCTGAATCCTGGGTTTGTGGGGCCGCTGGTGAATATCCACACGGGAGACACCTTCTACTTCCCCAACTTCCGCGCGTCCGGGGCGCAACTCCCCGGGCTGCCTTCGCTGTCCTATCCACGCCGTGACAACGTGTGCTCGCTGCCCTGGCCTTCGGCTGAGCCGTGCAATGGCTACCCGCAGCCCTACCTCGGCAGCCCAGTGTCACTCAACCCGCCCTTCGGCCGCACGTGCGAGCTGGCACGCGTGGAGGACAGCAAGAGTTACTACCGCGAGCCGTGCGCTGAAGGCGGCGGGGGCCTGAAGCGCGAGGAGCGCGGGCGCGACCCTGGAACCGGGCCAGGGGCAGCGCTGCTGCCGCTGGAGCCGTCGGGGCCGCCTGCGCTCGGCTTCAAATACGACTACACAGCAGGAGGGGGGGGTGGCGACGGCGGCACCGGACCCCCACACGACCCACCCTCGTGTCAGTCGCTGGAATCCGACTCCAGTTCGTCCCTACTCAACGAGGGCAACAAGGGCGCCGGCACAGGCGACCCGGGCAGCTTGGTATCGCCTTTGAACCCCGGCGGCGGACTCTCGGCCAGCGGTAAGGACCCCGGCCCACGAGTGCGGCTTGCTCAGATCGGACTTCTTTCCGAGGCAGGCAGGGAAGGACCGAGCTAGGGCCTGGGGTGACAGAATGCGTGGTGAGCTGGCGCTTCTTTTTTAAAATAAGAGTGTGGGGGGGGGCTATAAACATGTAAATATCCCCATAAAAGAACTGCGGAGATTTCCTTTTTTCGTTAGCCTGCGGCTGGCGGGGGCAGGGAGCTCCGGAGAAGGGCAGTTCTATCCAAGACTTCCCCAGGCCTGGGGTTCAGGAGGTGGCAAGGAGAACCCGGTTCTTCTCTCCCAGGCGCTTGCCTTCCCACAAGCCCTCGACACCTACTTTTTTTTTTTTTTAAAGAAACACCAATGGACACTGTTTACTCTTCACCAATTGTCCATGTTCTGTTCGTTCTAACTGATGGGGATTCAGTTCTGTGGAAGGATCACGCCAGGAAATAAGGAGAGGTTTGGGGCTAAGTGGATAGGAACATAGGAGGACCACAGATACTACAGCAGAAGGTAGGGTGGAGGAGGCAAGGAGTGAAAGGGAAGAGTGGTAAGGTGGGGGAATGGTAAGGATGGGCACAGGAGGCTATTGGGATGGCTGGAGGCAAGAAGGGCAAGGAAGGGTCTGGGATCTGTTGTGCGGCCAAGATGTAGGGGTCTGGGGAAGGGCTGAGGACACTGAGCTGGTCACCCCCTTGACCCTCTGGCCAACCCTGCGGTTCATCTCCACCCAGGCGCGCCCTGGTACCCGATCCACAGCCGTTCACGGAAGAAGCGCAAGCCCTATTCGAAGTTGCAGCTGGCGGAGCTGGAGGGCGAGTTTCTGGTCAACGAGTTCATCACACGCCAACGCCGGAGGGAACTCTCGGACCGCTTGAATCTTAGTGACCAGCAGGTCAAGATCTGGTTTCAGAATCGGAGAATGAAAAAGAAAAGACTTCTGTTGAGGGAGCAAGCTCTCTCCTTCTTTTAGGGGGCAGGACACGGGCGCCAGCCCTAGACTGAGCCTGTCCTGGCAAAGAACAAGAGGGGGTGCAGCCTGGGACACAGTCCCCGCTTAAACCACCAGTTGTCTCTGGCAGGCCCTCCCTCTTGTCTATTTTGTTCCAGGTTCCCTCCCACTCCCACCCCACCCCCGCAAGGGCCTGCCAGGTCCCAGAAAGAAGGAAAGAAACCCAGCCAGGGAGAAGGGAAGGCCACAAATACCAGAAGGTGGCAGGGACAGGAAACACTGGGGCACTGCAGAGGGGGCAGGTTTATTTGAGGCGGGACTGGGGCACTGCGCCTCCGCCTCAGGCCAGGATCTGAAGCAGTGGCTCAGAAGCCCCTTTCCTCCACTTCCCTTCAGGGTCTTAAGTCTCTGCTTGGAGAAGTAGAGGAGGGTGAGGACCGTAGAAACCAGGCACCCAGACTCACAATTAGTGGCATTAGGTGAGCCTGGGAGAAGGGCGAAAGAGTGGAGAATCAATTTAGAAAGTAGAGAGGGTTAGGGTAGCTCTGGCAGGGCAGAAGGAAGGGAGGAGGAAGTGCAGCACGGGAGAAGAGAATGATCCGAAAAGTCTGCTCTGGTGTGGTTGCTCCAGGCCTAGATACTGGGGGCTGAAGCATCCTCCTTGGCAAACTCGGCTATGGACTAAGCGACCATCAGCCTAGGACCTGTTGCCAGAAAGGTCTCCTGGTCCCCAGGCCTCTCCCGAGTCTCCTGCCCTCCCCAGCGAACACCAGCTCACAGGTGTGAGGCTACCCACCCTTCCCGCTGCCTAAGGCTGCTGGGCCGGAAGCGGTGAGCGGAGAAACGAGAGCAAAGAAAATGCCGCCACAGGTTCAGTAGCCACCCCAGGGACCCCCACCTCGCCTTCTGAGAAGCCCAAGAGACTCTGGAAGGGGCTTCGAAGCGAGGCATTTATTGACGGGCAGAGTTTCTGGCATCCACGGCGGCCGCCGCTTATTCTCCCTTCCCTGCTGGCGTTCACGGTCACGGCCGCCCTGAGGCTGGACCGGCATAATTTACGAGGCGGAGGAGAACCCGCCCTTAAAGGGGCTACCGGCCCCGGAGGCCCCGCTCAACCCCATTTCCCAGGCTGGTGACAATGAAGGAGGGGGGCGCTGCAGTTCCCCACCCAACTGCTTTCTCTTTTTTCCCTACCCGCCCCCCCACATCGCCCTTTGTCTCAGGACCCTCTGCTTCCGCCTCCGGCCAGCAATCCGCTGAGTGTGAGGACCTGAGCAGGGGTTGGGAGGCACTTCCCTAGAACCGATTGGAGGTCGGCAAGTGGCTTCTCCAAGTGGGAAGGGAGGGCTTTTATCTATAGACCCTTCCAGCTCCAGTGCAGATGCCAGTCCCAGAGATCCTGGGCTGGCTTCAGAGAAAGGAGCAGTTGAAAGAGCCCACTCCACCACACACACTCCCTCATGCACTCCGTTTTTATTTCTGTGAATCCTCCAACCTCCCACCTGCTCTCCCACCCTTGTGAAAGTAAGAGGGGTAAGAAACAGGAGACTGATGGGACTTAAATGCAGCCTGGACAGGGTGAAAAAAACTGGCTTGCTGGCTTGGAGTGTTTCCTGAAGGGAAGGTCTCCCTACCCTCCAAGGGCAATCCACCGAGTACCTGGCCCTCCCAACACCACACAGCTTCAAATCCTGGTACAAGGTTGTGCAGAGATATAGGCAAACACATACACAGAGATAAACCCAGCAAACCTCTGGGCCCACCCCACTCTCCCTGTTATTGCACTTGCAGGCCTGCAGCCTCAGAGCCCCATACAAGCCCTGTGGAGAGGAGATACAATCACACGGCTTCATCTTCCACTGGGCACCTGAGACCTGACAAACATCCCTCCCATCTCCACTTGTTTTACCCATGTACACGTTGTAGAGAGCACCTTCACTCCAGCTGTCCACATGGTCTTCAGCAGGCTGGGTTGAGGAATGAGACACTACTCCCCAACCCCAGCCTGGCCCATTATTATACCCTTTCTTGTAAGCCCTTCCTGTGGCTAGTGGGCCCTAGGGTGCTGGATTCAAGCTCTATCACTCTGGCCTGACTCCCACAGCCTAATGGAAAAGAGACCAGAACTCCGAAAAGGAGTGTGTGGGGTGGGAGGGGGAAAGATATGCAATATTCTCTTTCCTTCGCTTTAATCTTGACTTCAGTGAACTTCTCTATTTGTGTCTTATTCTCTGTGTCTGGTGCTAGTACCTAATGTAGTCCCTATGGGTAGTTACCACTCCCCTACCTTTTTTCCCAGTTCTCTGTAGAGTACTCTTCTAATCAAATGTCTGTCTTTCGCACGTTTCCTCTTTATATAGTCCTTGTACAGAGTTGCTTCATCATATTAATATTAATAATTAAAACATGGATGTATGACAATGTGATTTTTGAGAACAATTTTTACAACTGGGACTCCAAATATAATCTCCCTTGTCCAGAAAGAATGAGAGCCAGCTGTTCCCCCACTTTATTTTCTCCAATGAATATTAAATATATAATAATAAAGGAAGAGCAGTTGCAGAAGCAACAAAAATATATGACCAATCAAGATCTCTTGACAGAGCTGCCATTTCTAGTCCCAATCAATTACTGGCAGAGAGAAAATTGAGGGGTGATAGACTAGGGGGAGAAGAGGGAATTCTGAGGAGTCATGGGCTTGTAAAAATAATGTGGACAGCCCAGAGAGGGTGAAACTAGCTGCAAAAAAGGAGGTCTACACTGCAGGAACTGGAAGAATAGAAGCTGAGCTGGAACTGGGGGCTACTGAGAGTGCCTTGGGAATGGGATGAAATGGGAGTTGGTGGGTCCAGAGTTTTAACCCTGTGGTCTTAATGCAGAGGCTTTACTGAGAGGACATTTTGTGTATTGCTAGATGACTGAACAGGGGACTAAAGGCCTATTGGAGCTGGTGAAATAGGCTCCACCTCTTGAAGCCAGCATGCTTTGCCACAGATAGGCTCAGGTCCAGGTTAGTGGCAATGGGATGCATGTCCCCATGAGTCCTGTGCACCTCTACCAACCTTTTCTTTCTCTATGAAATTCCCTCCCTCTGCCTCCATCCCTCTACCTCTTTTGCCCACCAATTACCATTTCTAGCTCTCTGGCTCCAGTTGTAGGAATCTCTTCCAAATCCTGCCCCCCCCATCCTCCCAGGAATACCAGGGGGCCCCACGAAGCAAAGTTCAGAAAGACACAACTCTACCCTGAAATCTTTTTCTCCCTCTGTCCCTTTCTTTATTCTTGCAATCAGATATACTAGCAAATTTAGAACACATCTCACTTTCCCTTTATTCCTAATCATCAGCTGCTTTGCAGACCTAGTGGGTACAGGCAGGAATTAGACTAAGCCTTGGGAGTACTCATACAAAGGCCTGAGAGAGTGCAGGAGAAGCATGAGGATGTTCACTTCTTATAGCCATGACCTGGGGGAGGAGCTAGTGGCTATGCCAGGGCCTGTATAAGGGGGGAAAAAGAAAGTCTGAGTCCTATGAGTCCAGCAAAAGACTGTCCACTTCTTAAGATCTGTCTACACAGGAAGGGCCAACAGTGGAGGAATTTCTGGCTTTAAAAAATGGAGGTGGAATTTAAAGAGATCAATAACTGGCCCTTAATTTATTCCTAGACACTTCCAATCTGAGAAAGAAAGCACCTCCTTGGGTACTGTCTATGCAGGCTCCCAGATTCAGTAACTGAGGGAGTTGGCAGAGAAGGAAAAACACTACAGCTTTCTACTCAGGGCTGAAAAGCAATTTTTTTTGTTCTCCCCACAAAAAAAGGAGCCCACGATTGGAACTAACAGTCATACTCAGGCCGCAGCTCTGGATCTGGGTGAAGATTTCTTCACCTATGTTGCAATTATTTGTCTAGTTTAAGTCCCAAACTACAATGTCTTAACATTAAGACAAAGCACTCTGTGTCTCTGAATCTTGAGAAGCAAGAAACTGGGAAAATTGTCTGAATAATTTAGGGAATCACTTCTGTCGTGTGTATGTACTCTTATATTACTCGAATGAGTTCTGTGTTTTGCATGATCATCCATGAAGTTGTTCTGCTTTACTCTGATCTGCTCCAAGAAGCTGGGGTTTTAAAGCCAGGACTGAGCAAGCCAGAAGGAGATGGGTCCCACAGTCTGGATTCCATGTATGGCTTATCCAGCCGGAAACCCAGTGGGATCCAAGGCTCAGACCTAGAGCCGAGCAGGGACCCCTGGGCCCAGATCTGCAAACAAAGCAAACCCCTGGGACTTTGGGTTCCGGCCAAGCTGGAATCCTTGCTCACCCTCCCCTTAGTGTGCAGGAAAGCAAGAACGGATTTTAGGTTGGGGCCCCAAGGAAAACACCCTGAGCTGCCCAACCTCTCTTTGCGGTGGGCATTTGCAGAAAGGGAAGGTTCTGGCTTAATTCAGCGAGAGGTGAACTCCAGGCCAGGGATCCCACAGCTGCTCAGAAGCCCTGCCTTTGGCCTGAGCGGCCGCCCTATGCGCCTGCCTCCGTAGAGATAGAGTTGCCAATTTTCCGTAGAGAGGCCCGCAGCCCGCGCCCACTGATGCAAGACTTCCCAGCTTCTCCCGCCTCTCACCGCTGCAGGCCCGCGCTCTGCTTCGCGGCTGCTGCTCTAGGGGAAGCCCGGAGACAAAGGCTGGTCGGCAGCTGGTGGATGACGCGGGAGCCTGGACTGCTCCTGGAGCCCTCAGTGCCCAGGTTCGATGGAGAAGGCTCTGAAGGCTCTGAGACTCCAGTCCCATTCTTCATCTGTCCTGGTCCCTCCTGCAGTCCCATCCAGGGTTCTGGGAAGAGGAAACCCAGCGTGACCAAAGCCCAGGCTGATTCACGCAGCTCCTCGCTCAACGGTGGCGCCGGCAGCTGTGGTTGCCTCCGGAGGGCTGCCGGCCCCCGGGAAGGACGGGATGACCCCTGCTGGCCGGAGCAGTGGAGACTATCTCTCCTGGCCCCGTCCTGCCCAGTTCCCTGTCCCTAAGCATCCTAGCCCTGGGGGGGTTTGTAGAAAACCTTTCGAAGAGCAGCCAGAGCCTGAGGCACTGCCTGCTCTGAGGGAACCGGACCTTTATTCTAAGTGCCTTCTCTCTGCGGAACACTGTATCTCCACAGTGGCAGTCAGCCCTCCAGCCGGGCTTCTGGTCACTGGCGCTCTGTCCTGAGGCTTCTAAAGCCTGTGCCATCCACTGGAACCTGCCACGGGAGCCAAGAAACTTGGCTTCCACAAGACTAAACACAGTCGGATCTTTAGCCAGTTGGGACTAGCCAGTTGCCGGTAGGCGATTTCTTCTCTTCAAGCCAAAGTGTTTACTGGATACTTAGAAACAAGTCTTCACTTTGTTTTCTCTGACCATGAGTGTAGAACTTCCTTCAAGGACAGGTTAGAAAGCTCTCTGTGAAGAAACGTAGTTCACAGGGACTGAGTACTATACAAAGATGTTCCATAAACTACACACCTGGCAGTGTTGCGGCTGTAACCAATGTATGCAAGCAGTCTAAAATGCAAGATATCTATATTACATGTGCACTCTGGACATGCAAAATGTTTCTCTGTGAAATATGCAATATAGACACTTATCTATTGCATGAGAAAGCAAGGTATTGGGAAAAGACTACATATACCATGTATATTCACCACATATAAAAATATATTTACACATATAAAGATACACATACATATATAAACACACCACATACATATATTCTACATTGAGAATGTACAATCCCAAATCTATTTAGCCACATGCTTATATACTCCATAAGATTTATAGAATCAGTGCTTGGAAAATGAAAATAAATATTTATACATAAAATTGCATGAAAAGTATATTATACATAAGCAAAGTCCATATCTACCCACTGTATAAAATATATTCTGTGAATGTTTACACAAATGGTGTATGTATGTATCAATTATATTCTCTGGGCTTACATATTGTATTTATAATATATATTCCTCTGGTAGTCTTAAAAATGAGAGCAGGAGGGAAGTCTGGCCATCAGCAATTGCAATCTCCATCTGCTGAATTTTTTTGTTTCATATTTCTATTATTTTCTGTCTTTTAAAAGCCCCCTTCTATGTCTTTAAGCATTATTATAACTGATCTCCTGTAAGAATTTCCCTGTTGTAGCTCTGACCTGAAGCTGGAGTACGTATTTAGATCATACTAAGTCCTATTTGCAGCAGGGTCCACTGAATAATCATTCTGTATAGGATGAGCATTATATAATTATGTCACCCCACGTGTTTCAAGATGCATTCTTCTAGGCTTAAGGTAAACCTATTATAGAAATACTCTACTCCCAGGCAGAAAAGGGGAAGCCACAGGGCTCTGATGAAGTATGTCGCAGGCTCTTTGATTTCTGGCTGTGTGATTGGCTCTCAAGGGTTCCTGAGGCTAAGATTTGTTTAAGTTTTACATTTTTATTTAAAATTCTTGAGTCTAGGGAGCAACATGAAACAAAGGGTGGGGTTCTATGTCCCTCACAAATCTGGGAGAAACCCCACTCTCCTGCACCCAGCCAGGGCTGAAAGCCTGGCTAGTCCTAGCCCACTGCTCAGATTCCCACCCTTAAACTGAACTGGGTCTACACAAGCAACAGAGAAAGACTGTCTCACAGCCCAAGAGTTCCTCCCCACCCTTTTCTCAACAAAATCCACTCCCAATGCTTTTGGAGAGCCATTTTCTGGAATTGAGCTGTTCTGGCCCCCTAAAAATTAGTCCCACTTGGGTCTTAGCAACTAAAACTCCAGAACTTTCTGACACATACCTATGGAAAAATTCTTTGAAAGACAGTGTTGTCACATCCAGCAGAGATATTGTTTATGAGTCCACGGTTCCGTGTAGACGTGGCCATATTTTACAGTCCAAAGGAATCAATTAATTAGCGCCTCCCAGTCCCCCCGCCGGCCAGGGCTCGGGTGAGCGGCTGAGCTCACGCGGCTGAGATAGATGTGCGTGGCCAGCTCGCTGGTCTTGTTAACAAGCCTCGTCATAAAGATGGAGATGATAAGAGGAGCAAGGAAGCTCCGCGGCCGCGAGGGGGGGCTTCCAGGGCCCAACCCTGCAGTGTGTGAGCAGCGCAAAGCTGTTTCCCCGGAGCTGCCCCGCGCCCACCCGTGTTTAGATAGCTTCTTTCCTCCTGAGGTGTTAATGCTGCGAGCAAGAACCGAGATAACCGCTCCCCCCGCCCCGCCTCCCCTGAATTTTCCCTTTTCCTTGTTTAGCCCAAAATCAGATTTAAAAATTAAAAATACATAAACCTCTGTCCGTGAGTGAGTGCCTGTCTTGCCCTCTGTAACGTTTGTTCGGGACCTGCCGCGTCGCTCATTTCCCTGCATTTCTTTGAGTGGTTCCCTTTCATCTCAGTCTGATGCTCTCTTTCTTCTTCCAGCTCTCTCTGCCCCGCTTCACGGTTGCTTTTTCTACCAGGTCAGGGCTGGCTCAGACTCCAATGAGCTTATAAAAAAAAATACAAATACCCCCTGGTTATCTCGCACCAGAGTGAACACCCCCGGATAAGCCAGACCCAATGAAAATAAAATTTTAAAAAGAAACACCTTGGGTGTAATTGCTGGTTTAGGTTGTAGCACTCAATTCTGTTTATTCTTGCCAATGTGCATACTTAACAGGGAGATATTGATATTAAAGGGCAAGGGGGAATTAATTTTACTTTTATAGTCATCTATTAAGAGCAGATGATCTGAGTCTCTTTTAAAGGGACCAAAGGGGAGGGGGAGAAAGGGAGGGGGAAGAGAAAAATATGACTGAAGGCAACAAAGATCTTTGCCTGAAGAAACAATGTAACACTAGACAGAACTATAAAGTCTGGGAATGTAAGCACGCAGGACTCTCTCAGCTTCCCCTATTTAGAATCCTGTCCCTTGCACTTCCTGCTGAAATCCCAACCCTGACTACACAGTGGTATTCAAGGAAGAATTCATGCAATTATCCGGATAATTGTAGGGGGAGTAAGAGAAAGCATTTCTCTTTTATTGTCTGACCTTCTCTGGTGTCTGTGCAGAAGAGAAGGAGGAGGGGCTCGGGATGTATGGGATATAGAGAAAAAGAAGGTGAAAGGGTCTCTCCATATCACCCTAAGTCCTACAAAATGGCTTCTTCTAAGTCAAGGAACCCCTAGGTATGAGCTTAGGGATTTTGAAACATACTCAAGAAAATTCAAGAGATCCAGTTTGAAAGGCTCTGAACCAGTTTCATTTTTGATATTTGCTTGGCTTCCCTCGGACCACATAGATCTATCTCCTCTAGTATTATAATCATCACAAGTAAGTGGATAATAATTATAGGGGTGTTGATTATATTATTTTATAGCCACACAAGATATGATTAGAGTTAATGTCAGAGGATTTGTTGGACCTGGGAGGCAGCAAAAACCAAGGTAGAGAAGCTCTGAAAGTCTTTGTCTTTCCTATTTTTACATGTGTGGGAATCTCCAGAAACCCCTAATAATATACACTCCTTTCCTGGACTTCCAAAGAGAAATCTCTGGGATTTTAGGAGCTATAAAGCCTAGAGAAGAGTAAACAACTACTTGGTACTTGAACTCTGCCCCTCTTAGTCTACGGAGCAGAGGGCTCTACTTTCCCTGTGCCCCCACAGTCTAAGGCTTAGCTCTCAGCACCAGGCCCCTAGGATTATGGAAACAAGTCCCTGGTAAGGCCAGGGACAGCAAGAAGGGACTTATGAAAACCACGTTCATTGTCAACTCCAAGTGGGTGTAATTCACCCCAGAGAGAAGACTTTCTTGATCACAAATTGGCCTTCTTTCCTAGAGCCTCCGTGCCAAGGACATACACAAAGGGTCAAAAGCCCAACTGGTGCTGCAGAGGTCAGTTTCAATCTGGGAAGACTGAAAATATTTCTGTCTTATTTCTGGGAGTCAAGAGACCAGAAAGCTCTGGGAGAGAAGGGAAGAGATTGCCATAGAAGCAAAGCCAGAGAGCAAGGCAAGAGAATTGAGGGAAAATATGAAACCACAGTCAAGATTATAGGGAGTAAGTGAAAGAAAGGGAACTGGAAAAACAGGAGGAGAAAACAAAGAAAGGAAGGAAAGAAAAGGCAGAGGTAGAAAAGAAGAAAATACAGAGATTGAAAGAGAAAGAGAGGCGGGCGGGAGGGAGGCAAAGGCAAGGGTTAGTGGCTGCTCAGGCTCTGCCGCTGCTTGCAGCAGTCTGGGTGGGCGGGGGCGCCATGACAAAGTGAAGGTCAAGTTAGCATCGTACCTTATAAGGAAGGCGGCGGTCCTCTCTCTCAGCCTTTCTCTCCAGAAGGACGAGGCAGTGGTATTTCTGGTCTTGTAAACACTGAATTGTATGAGACCTTAAAAAAATAAAGACCCTCCTCATTCCTTTATTGGGGGCGAGTTCGGCCGGCTGAGAGAAGCTCTGGACGGGGAAGTCAACTAATGAAGACTCCAGGAAACTTTTCTCTCCTTTTCTGTCTGGCTCCGCTCCCTGCCCCCTGGGCTCCCTCCCTCCCCCACCCCGCGCTTCTCTCTCTCTCTCTCTCTCTCTCTCTCTCTCTCTCTCTCTCTCTCTCTCTCTTCCCCTAGTCTTCCGTATCTTTTCCACACTGCAACTCTCAGCTCGATCTCTCCACTCCCCCTCTCCCCTACCTCAGACTTCTAAATCTGTTTCATTCCACCTCGAAGTGCAGCAGGACGTAAGAATTGGAAAGAAAATTAAACGTCATAAAGAAAAGTTCATTTACTGCTTAAATATCTGAATATTACGGTTCCTTCAGAAAACAAAGCGGTATATTCGCTAAGGAGAAGTGAGTGAGTAGCAGGGATGGGCCGGGCTGGTGTGTTAGGAGACTTGGATTTATTTATTCCTTGGATTCAGAGGCGGACAGAAAGGGAGAGAAGCAGGGAGGTGAGAGAACCGTTTTAACCCAGCAACTGGCAAAGAAGGAAGCTGCAGCTGGTGGGACTGGGAGCAAAATGCTGCCGCTGTGCAAGGACCCGGTACTGCTACAGCAATCTTCTAGTGCCGAACCGGCTCAGCCTAGACCTTGGATATGGGAGAAGCAAGTATACTATGTATTTGTGGGTTTCAGAGACTAGTTGGAAGGCAGGAATGGAGGAAGGCCGGGAGATGTGGAGAGTAAGGCGGAGCCACAGCCCGCCTGAGACGGAAAGTGAGATCCGAGAGAGATCCGAAGCCACAGCGGGCTGACAGCGGGCAGTGGGTGGGCTCAGCTAAAGGCTGGGGGTGGGTGGGACATGAGATCCTCGATCCTTTTCCTCCAGGGCTGCACTGAGACTGGGAGTGTGGGAGAGGCTGAGAGAACATAGTATTGGCCTTGGGGTATTTACAGAGGGCTTGCCTTTTTCCTAGACCTCACAGCTTGTTTTCCTGTTCTCTGGCTCTGCTGGTAGAGCCATTTTAAGGCCTAATCATTTATTTTTAAATTGGAATTCTAATGGCAAGGGAAGTGGTCAGAAAGTAATGGTGGGGGATTCTGGTTAAACTTGATGCTCCAAACCACCCTAATTGTCATCTCCATCCTCTTCAACTAGAAAACGGGCCCCTGACATTGCCCCCCCTCCCACTTTACCTACCTGATTAGGAGCCCCTCAGGACTGAAATGGGCCTGGGGCCTGGGTAGCAGTGGACATAGTTGGTAAAGCTCCCAGGCCTTGATGACTGGTGCATTCCTACCCTGTGTTCTTATAATGAAAAACAAAGAGGTCAATTTGATTATTAGTAAAATATTCTTGCTCTCAATGCAGCTTCTGACCCCAAGATCTAAGGTGATAAATGTTTCACCCATAGACATTAAATATGGGCAAAATGCCACTTATGTCACAAGGTAGCTGGGCTGAACGGGCTAGAAGCTAGCCAGTATGGGTACATAAGTTACCAGGAGCCCCCCAAAAGGGAATGGAAGGCCATGTTTGACAGGTTCTAGAATTCTGTGCAGAGTATTTTAAATGTTCAAATGGGAGGGGGTTTTCTGATGTCCCCTCAGTTTAAGGAGGGGAGCCTCAGGAAGTTAGAGACTTTACCGGCTGGGATGCTTCCCCCTAGTGTAAGAAAGATACAGATAACCAGACCTTACCCTGCAAAAATGTGCTGCGTGTCTGTAATAGAAAATTGGCAGGCACTTTGGAAATTTAGGAACTTATAAAGAGTGAGGCAAGGCAGACACCTTTGTGAAGGCAGAGGCTTAGGTGTGACTCAGGTTGGGTTGAGGAAACTGAGGGAGTAAGGCTGAGCCGGCATCACCCAAAACCATTTCCTCAGGAAAGTCAAACATACACAATGGGCTTCAAGATTGAAAAACGCCAGACGATCTGCTCCAAAGGGACATAAACAGGCCAAGCGGATGCAGGTTAATGAAACCCGCAAAAGCCCAGACAGGAACCCTTAAAATGCCCCAGAACAAAGCACAACCATGACAAATTCTCGCCCAACACACAACTACACGCACAGGAATGTTCCCAGACACACAGAAAAAGAGACCTTCCCTACCTCAGGCCTTCCCTCATGGACACTCAGGTATACCCGCCCAGCTCCAAGATCACACAAATCTTTTCACTTTCCTAAACTAACCCAAAGAAACCCCTGGGAGTGACAGGCACCAGCGGCACTGCACACTCCACAGCGTCAGTCCATGTTCCCCTGAGCCTCACTAATGCACGATCCAGATCCATACTCAGAGATAAAAGTCCAGACAATAGACGGCTGTTTATGACGAGGCTCTCCAAGTTTGGGGCCAGGCGATAAATCTTGGGCGAATCTTCCTGTAACTCAACTTCTGTCTGTAGTGACGAGAGAACCACGGAGACCTCAGAGGAAACAGCAAAATGGGGGAGACTTTTAAATCATCTTCCTTGCTGGGGAGAACAGGATAGGCTGTCACATTCATCCCATGCAGCAGTCCACACTACGGAAGCTCTCGGACCAAGCTTCTGAGCACTGGCAAGTTAGGGCTCCAGCTATCTGCCCTGGCATCAGGGATCCCAGAAATCCGGGTGAAATGTGCAGGCAGAAAGGCAGGGCCTGGAATCTGGGACAGCTTGCTGGGGGCAAAGGGTCTTTTTTTGTTGGTGATAGACTCTTCTTCCCTGTCACCTGAACATTTCTCCCTCTCTCTCTCTCTCCCTCTCTTTCTCTCTCTCCTTTTCCTTTTTGGATTGATAGGCTGTTCCCTTCTACATTTTCGACTCAGGAGTCTGATTACAAGTAAAGCACCACTAAAGTTCATCTCATAAAAATGCCGCAAGCTCACTTTGATCAGCGTGGACTGGGGTCCAGAGCCTAAGTAGGCGCTAAAGCCGGGGAATGGCGGCTTCGGCCAACCGATCCACAGCTCCGCAGTGAGGGGGAGACCCGGGTAGCCCAAGAGGGCAATCTCCCCCAGAGAAGGTATTTTCTGTGGGGCCTCAACTGGCTTTGGAAACTAAGGCCCAGTGGCAGTGACTCCATTTCCAGACTGCTTTTAAGACATTTCCTTCATTTTAGAGCATTTGGTGAGAGGGCCAGTGAAACTGGCTCGTAAAATGGGGCTTTTATGGGGAGAAATAGGGTCGATTTGTTGGCTTCCAGGGACAATCCCTCCTCGGAGCACGCTGGGTGGGGCTGTGAGGGCAGAGGAGTTGCCCTTCCTCAGCCCCTCTACCTCTTCCAAAGGCTGGAGAATGGTGCGTCCAGCCGCTTAGGTGGCCTCACTTGGGGCTTTGGTAACCAAAAGGAGGAGAGGTGAAAGAAAGCCACAAATCTTCAGTCCCGTGCTTTCCAGTTCCCTGGGTGGGGGTGGGATAGGAATGTGGGTGTCCTGGATGCCAGATAAACCACTAGCCTGGAAATCCCACAAAGCATTCTGAAGGGATTATTCAACAGCAGTTTCTTTCTAAAGAACAGAAATACATGTGGAAAGGTGCAAGCTGATTTGTAATGAGGTTTCCTGCCTTTCGGGGCCAGCCTGGGAACAGCTGAGGGTGTCCTCCAGTGGGACTCCCTTTTGTATTGTATTGACTCCACACTAGCTGAGTTTCTCCTCCCAGTGTTTTCTTCCTAGATCATGGCCATCAAGATCTGCTCTCTAGCACCTAGGGTAGCAGGAGGAGGTAGACGGGCTGCAAAGCCACCCCAATGGTGTGTCCAAGAGTTTGCCTGGGAGCTGCCCAGGCCAAATTCAGTGGAAACTGCCCCCTTCTGAAGCGGCCCCTGTTGTCCCTGTGTGGGAAGGAAGGCACTGGAGCCTGTCATTTCTCTGGCCAGACCACCGAGACAGCCGCCCAGACCGCAGCCGCCTGCCACACCAGGCAGGCAGGCAGCAGGGACCAAGGCCACCAAGAGCCAGCGAGGAGGGCAAGATAGCCCTGCCAGATGGTTTCAGGTGAAGGCCTGGCCTCCAGGTGGATGGAGGGGCCACCGGGTGCCCACCAGGTGAGGAGAAAAATAGCCGCCATCTGGAATGGGGCCTGCAAGGGAAGGGATTGGGGACCACAAAAGAATCCTACTCTGAGGAGGCAACCAATGCCCTGACCAGAAGCTGCAGACTGACAGGGTACAGCCTGGGGCAAGGATGCTTGGGGTGGATTGGACCCAAGGCTAGGCAGGGAGGCCTCTAACCAGCACCATGGTCATTTTTGCTAGTCAACAGCCAGCTGACCTCAGAGACCAGGTCTTCTCTCTTTGACTCCAGCAGTAACTGCCAGTTGCTGTGATTTTTAAAAAGTTGTTGAAAAATTAAAAGATGCATATTAGAAAAAAAATTAAATAACATGCCTTACTTTTAAGGGAAAGAGTATTACATTCCAGAAGTCTCTGTCGGAAGACCCCAGAATTTTCCTGGGCATTAACTCCTTAACATTCTTTCTTGCTTTTCTTTTTTAGTTTCAAGGAAATCAGGCTGCCAGCCATCCCTTGCAGCCGCCTGGCTCATTTTATGGTGGCCCTGGAATAAACTTTGGTGGTCAAATTCAAGTGCTGAGGCCCACAGCTGTCTCCTCACAGGAAGCAGCCCACCCCTCTTGGGCCTGGCTGTGCAGAATGAGCCTTGGGGGATTGGGCCCCACATTGCCCAGGAGGCCAGGATGGGGAAGGAAGCAAAGCCTTGTAGGGATGTGGGGGAAAGCAGAAGCAGAGACTGCCCTGGTCCACACCTCTGCAAGGGATAGAGGTACTTCTTCCCTCCCTGGAACTGATCCTATCACTGTTTGGGGGAACATTTTCCCTCTAATAAACTCAAGTTTAATGAGGTCAGTGAGAACCCTAAAAAAGCCACAAGCCATAGTTTCTTGACATTACAATTAAAAATGCTTCTCCTGGCTTACTCTATGAAAAGGGCTAGAGGAAGGAGAAAAATGCAACAGATTTTTCCTTTTGTGGTCCCTTCCCAACGGAATCCCACACATATGCTCCAGTCCAGTTCCTCAGTTAAGTTCTGCCCAAGGCTAAAGGAGGGTTCAGGAAACAGTGCCCAACA